GATTTTACAAATTTTTCATTAGAGACAACTAAAAATTTTATTTTTTGGTGTATCTACATTTTTGCACCGGACCATATAATGCATTTGATTTGAGGAAAATACACGCACTCATTAGCTATATGTTAACCATATATTAGTATTGATATGCATGCATAAATAAAATCATAATTCCCACCCATTTATTATTTGTTTCCAATGCTTGAAGACATAATAATTCCATTAAGTTATGAAAAGAATAATTCTTCATAAAGAGTTCTAAGAGTTTCATTATTCGAGAACAAAGTATAAAGTTGTATTACAACATATCTTCAATTATCGAAGCTGACTTTCCGCAACAATTACAAAGTCTATAAAAATACAAAATATTGTTATTATTATTAATTATATTTTTCTTTTAATATTGCAGCATCTCATAACAACGGTATAGGTTTATGATGCTGCCATCTGAGAAAGTTACCTATGCTCATTAGGTTGAACAAGAATACGAAAGAGAGCGAGTGACAAGAAATATAATAGATAATCTCCTACTGAAGATAAAATCGATTATTATTCGTCGATTTTCAAATGGGTCGGAGAATATCCTTGTTGAAACTATCGCACATTTAATCAAAGTTTCCTTGTGTCAATTGCCACTTTAATGTGATATTGCTGTGGTTAGAGGTGAAAAACAGAGCATTGCTAACAAGAACCAGAAGACGCTAAGAAGAAAATAGCTCGAGATGATACAAACCTGATCTAATAATACGAGCATCTTTGAAACGGAAACAAATGAGATTGCAATGTTGAAAGTGGAAAATGGGTTTGAAGCAAAAATTCCCTTCCACCTGTAGAATTTGTGCATACATTGTGGATCTTTACGGTTAAGAATTTATCAAAGATGGATATATTCTAGAAAATTCTATATTATATTAGCATGAGATAATCGTAATTTACATTAAGAGTCATTAAGCACAGCGCGGATCATAGCACCCAAGATACATTCCACGTATATAGAGTTTAGATCTGTTATCCAGTTTTAAAATAGTTATCTATATTCAGTTAAATTTAATAAAGAAACGGATAAAGGAACCAAATGTCACGTATATATTTGCATAACTAGTACCCCGGATATTTTAAAAGATAACACTTTGCAGAGCATCGGGTATCTTATACAAGGGTATTTTGAAATAGATGGGTACTATAGTCCGCGCTTTACAGTATTTTATTATTCAATTTTTGTTATATTATAAAATCTTGAAAAATTAAACTTAAAAAATTATATATAAAAGTTATTTATTGTGAAAATAGAAATATATTTAATAAAAACATAATAGAATATATATTAGCTTTAAAATAAAATATAAAAAATATATTAATTTTATTTAGAAGATATAGAAGATATTCAAAAAAAATCTAAAAAAAATAAAGTTAATAAATATATTAGAAGTTATTTTGATCTTTTCAAAAATTGATAGAAAAAATAAAGAAAATATAAAATATTAGAAAAAAATTCACTGATTATTTGGAAAAATTTCAGGAAAATTTTGTATTTAATTCAAAAGATTTTTGAATTGATTAGGAAAGTAATATTTTTCAGTTAATATTTTGATTTTTAGTACAAAATTAAGCATTTTGATTGAATATAATATCTTATCTGAACACTTCTATCAAAATATTAGTTAATTAATATTATTTCTCTTAGAATATAAGAAATTTGCTAATATTTTTATAACAATAATCACGTTTGCAAATTCTGATTTAAAATAAGTACTCAAAAATTTCATGAAAAGATTGTTGAATATTTTCCGATATTATAGTTAATTTCAGTAATTTAATTTTCAAAATTATTTTCTAGAAAAGATTATTGCTTTATATAGATAATTATTAACAAAAAATAATTTTTTTTAATAAAATTAGATTGAAATAGATGAAGTTATATAGTAGATGATTGTTTTAAATGAAATTATAATACTGCAAATATTTTCTTTAAAAAGTCATTTTTATAATAAAAATGAATAATAATAAACTATGACAGTTTAATTTATTAAAAATATTTACATAATAATTTTATTTAAATTTTATTTTTATAATATATATAATTAAAACCTTTATTTATTCTAATTTTATTCATTTTTTATTAATTCAACTAATTTATTTTTTAAACTTCGAACATAATTTTGATTTCTTGATAAAATGTCAAACACTTTTTATTAATAGTTTCTTTTTTCTTTACTAATTGGTTTTGGGCTAGCATTTTTGTATTTAGTTAATACAAATGATCAGTTTCTTTATCATGTTAAACAATTTTTTTGCAGACACGTTATAAATTTAATTGCCTAGAAACCATTCGATCGCTTTATTTTATATCATTCAGAAAAGAAAAAATTTCCAATTATAGCAATTATTTATTTGGCAAATATCGAGATAAAAATAATAATAGTTTTCTTATGCTTAATAGTATAAAATTTCAATTCTCAAATATCTAAAAAAATTTTATCTTATAAATTTCATTTTTGATTGTCATTGTATTTTAAATTTTTAATAACCTTTTAATTTCTTTTATTTAATTATGATAATAAAGATGAGTTGATATATTGGCTGCTTTATTAATAAAAAGATTGTAGCACGCGTAGCCAAAAGATATAATTATGGTTTCAATAAGCGAAAACCCGTCACCTTAAATTTAGATTCCTTCCACCGCCTATATCAAATGAAAACAGCAAGTGGTAAAAAGTTTTCCACAACTATCATTATTATCAAGAAAGATGAAAATTTTCGTTTACATTTTCATCATCTAAATTTGAGCCTCAGCTCATTCATAGTTAAAGTCATGAACACTATCAAAGTTGAAGATTTCTTCGAGTCATGACTTCTAAAAAGAAACAACAATACGTAGGTTTGCATAATATGTGTATCGAGTTATATTTTACGCAGTATGTGTAACAGTTCTTTATCGCTATCGTATATATTTTACGCAGTACTACGCTAGCTCCAAAAGTGGTTGAATTTATCTCTATAAATTAATGTGATAAATAATTCACGACACACGAATCAGTAAAAAATAAATATGAACAGTGACAAAACTGAAAATATATTATACTCAGGTCCATACTATCTTCCTATAAAGTCAAAAGTTCCAACGTTTTCTTTAGATATCAACGATAATAACGCTTATTGTTATCTCTCGTCAATAAAAGAAAGCGACAAAAATGTTATATACAACCATTTGCGTCCTGAAAATCACGGATCCGTAGAAATCCATAAATGGACATTAACGCTGCCGAATCCATACACATTAGATGATGCTTCACAGTTCATTACCCATTGTGAAAATAAAGCAAAAATGAGTGGAAAATGTTTAAACTGGGCAATACGTAATTCTCAAGGAAAGTTTATCGGATCAATTGGTTTAATTCCGCCAGGTATACCTTTAGAAAATGATAAGAACAATATACTCAATAACATCAATAAAATTAATGAGAACAAAAATTTATTGGAACACTCGTATGAAATCGGTTACTGGATTGCATCCGAATACACTAATATGGGAATTGCGAGTGCTGCTGTGCGAGTTGTGACCGATGAAATTGCATTTCGAGAAATGGGTCTAAGAAAAGTAAGAGCATTTGTATTCATGGGAAATGATAAAAGTATGAGAGTTTTGGTAAAAGCAGGATTTAAAAATATTGACTTTCTTTCAGAATATTATCTAAAGAATGGACAAAAAATTGATGCAATATTATTTGTAAAAGTTCCTGAATAGATAGAGTTTATTAATTATTTTGGGTATTAAATGATATGATATTATGCATTCATCAGATTCAATTTTAGGCATTAAAACCTTTGTAAAATAATATTTCAAAATATAACAGATAATATTTTGTTCTTATGTTATTCATCAAATAAAAATTATACAAATTAGTAATATTTAAAGAAGTTCTTTCCAAAACTATGCATATAAATATTCTCTTCCTCGTATTTGTCGGAGTTGAACGTTACAGGTGAACAAAAGTTATATTCGCGAAAAAGAACAGAGCAATAAACTATGCTTACACTTCTTCCAAATCAAAAAGGTCATGTCTTGAATATTAATTATAGTCTCACATAATGATTCAGATTACGATTTCAAAGAGCGTGACCAAGATATATCACTAGCAATTGTGTGCACCCACTCATCTATATAATTAGAAGATTCTAAAGCGTATAATCAGAGAACAGAATAATAGTCTTGATGGTGTTGAAGGAGATTTTTGTAAAAAAAGGTTAATGAGCAATCGTGAGAGCGCAAAATCGCGTGGGCAAGAAACGAGCGAGCGAGAGTGGCAAGCGAGAGCAAAAGCAAGTGTAAACAAGCAATAGGGAACAAGTGAAAGAACAAGAGCGAGATAGCAAGAGGGGACAAGCGAGAGTAGCAATAGCGAGTGGGCGAGCGAGAGTTAGCAAAGCGAACAAGCAAGTGGGTAAAAGCGAGTGGGCAGGCGAGAGTAGCAAAGAGTTGAACGAGTGGGCAAGAACAAGTATAGGTGAAGCGAATAAGCAAAGCAAAAGTGAGTAAAGAAACAAGCAATGTGAATAATAAAACAAGTAATGAGATGAATGAAATCTTTTATAAGTAAAACATTCAATCGAAAGTTTGTGGAATATTTGTGTATTTGTTTATGCGATGGTTAAAATAGAGGTGAATAATTTTTCGATGCTCCGTGTTTAATGGCGGGAACGAAGTTTTAGATAATAGAAAATTTTTTGCACTCAGATCATGTTACTATAAGGAATTAATAAAAAATACTTATCTATATAGGTTAGAATACCTATTAGAAGAATGATGTGAATAAAAGGCAAGGAAATGATTAGAGAAAACGATTATTTTGATCTATCTATTTTCTTTTCGTTTATAGTACATAACAAAAAAGTTTGTTAAATGGAGCAAGTAAGTTAGAAAGCTTGACAAATCTGCCGCATAAAAAGGATTTTAAAAGCATGTAGTTTACCATTAAAGTAAAAAAATAATCTTTTAATGGTAAAGACAATTTTCGGGAAGATAATATGAATCAAATTTGCATTACCATAACACAAAACAAGCATTACATCTTTGGCCAGCTTTTTGTTTATCGACATTCTTTTTACCACTCATATGTCTATTATATTTATAGAATAACGAACGGTATTCATAATGCTAGAATTATACAGATTGACGAGTATTCTGCTATCACCATTTATGATAATATCAAAAAAATAATACATTGAAGCATGCTGGAGGGAATGGCCGCTCCAAAAAAATTAATGGATATGCGTTGTCCAATTTATAAGGCACGATACGCCTATTTCTACAAGGAATATGAGAATAGAAGCATCATACAGAACAATAGGAAAACATTTGGCAGATCTTGGGTATCTAAAAAAACTTCCAAAGGCAACATCCATTCTTATATCTAGTTTTGAATTATTATTCAGTTCAATCTATATTTCTTTTTTATAGACTCAAGAAATAACTAGTCAATTTAATATTAAAAAATTTTATCTATTCTAGTATATTACTATTTGAAATATCAGTATTATTTATATATAAAAAATATTGAAATTATATATTAATTATAAAGTTTTAAATAAAATTATAATTAAAAATTATTATTTATTATCTTAAATTAATGATTTTATAAATAGATTATAGAATTTAAAAACTTTTTAAAGCTAAATTTATATTCAAGATATTAGAAAATTCATATAATAAAAGAAAAATATATAAAATTATATTTAAAACTTATAATAATCATTATAAATTCTTAGTTTTATTATTTAAACTTATTAATATATTTATTATCTTTATAATTTTAATGAATAATATATTCTATAATTACTTAAATAATTTTGTAATTATATAATTATATATTTGAATAATATTTTAATTTATAATAAAATAAAGAATATATTTAATATTTTCAATAATACTTGATATTTTATATAAATATAAGTTATACAGTGGCAATCAAAAATAATGCAACGCTTAAATTTTTTACTAATTATAATTAGTAAAAAATTTAAGCGTTGCATTATTTTTGATTGCCACTGTATATTAAATAAAAGAAATATAACTTAATTTAATAATATATAAAATAACTTAATTATTTCATATTAATAGATAATATTTTAATAGACTAAAGAAAAATAATTATAATTAAAAATTAATTTATATTATAAATATTTCAAAATTCTATTTATTTCTGAAATTAGTAAGTTATTACAAAAAATTTATCAAAAATTCTTAGTTATAGTCTTATTATTAATAGCTTTATTATATAAAGATAAAAAATATAAATACTTAGAATAAATATAATAAGTATTTGAGAGTTTTAATTAATATCTTATCTTAGTATTAATTTTATTATTATCTAATTTTATTATTAAAATTATACTAAATTAAAATAAAAATAAAAATAAAAATAATTAATTTATAATATTAAATCAAGCATCAGAAAATTTTTGAGAGCACAGTTTTACACAGATCTTCAGATTCAAAATCTACGTAAAACTTTAAACCTGGTGATAATTGGTAAAGAAAAAAAAATTAAAAAATCTGCATAGATTTGTAACAAAATATAGATTTGCAGAGATTTTTTAATTTTTTTTTTAAAATTCTGCACAAAACTTCATAATATCAGTTTCAAGTAGCAGTAGTAATTTCAAGTAACTATAGAATTTATAAATTAAATAATAGTAAAGATATTTATTTTATTATAAACTATATATATATAATAATAAAATATAAATTTAAAGAAAACTATATTATATAAATTCACAATTCAAGATAATAATTTTTTGAATAAAAAATTAGTTTTTTTAAAAACTTCAAAGAAACAAATTGTAAAAAGTATTAAAGAAACTTATAAAATTATCATAGTAATCATCTTTCTCATTATTATCTTCTTCAATTATATTCTCAGCTCATGACTTTTGATATTTTTTCTTTGCCACTTACTTTGCCTCTTTAATTTCTTTTTTCACTATCTCTATCATTATTTCTGGTATTACTGACTGATTATTTTTCACAGCTCACTAAATATCTATTATATAAATAATTTTTAATGCAAACTTTAAGCAAATTCAAAGTATTACTTATCATAAATATATATACATACCTTGCTATCAATCTATCTTTGCATTTGATTTCTGGACTTAATGAACTGAGAAGAATATTACAGATAACTAGGATAAATATATAGTATATCAATGTCAATGCTTTTCCTTTATATTTCTTAAATACCATGTAACTAATATTTGTAAGCAATTTATTATTTTAAAAGAGATTTTTATATGCAGTTTGAGTTTTTTCACTCCTTTTTCACTTGGCAAGATGAATAATAGATATGTTATTATTGACTCTTACTAACTTTTCTTTATCAAATGTTGAAAAGATAATATTTCAGATAGCAGAAGCATAGTCATTACATTTACTATGATATTTTGCTCTTATCTAAAATTATCAAACAAAAATAATTAGTAAAAAATTTATAAATTTATATAATTTATGATAAACTTGATAAATATATTTCTCTGTAAATATAGATATCTATATATTATGACCCAGACTATTAATATAATCTTCAGTATTTTTTATCAAATATTTTTCTAATATTTGTCAATATTTCTTGGAGGTTGGAAAGAGAATTGTAAGAATCAACTTCTTGGCTATCTTCTTATATATTTGCTGTATAAAATAATAGAAAAAAGAACTTTAATAGATTTTGCAGATTGATTTTTGACTTTAAAAATAATCAAAGATAAGTATCTTTCAGAATATTTTGGATAGTTCATTAGTGATGACTAATTTTTTAATTAATTTGGTTTATTCTTGTGCTTGATCACCTAAAAATCAATAGAAATAGTATATATTATCAATTTTTTTGTTTAGAATATTTATTATATACTTGAATTCTTCATAGATCAAAGATCTTTCATTATTTGATGCTTGAGTAGATGAAAATTGAGTTGGTAATAAAGAACATCTAATATTATTGTTATCATTAAATAATGAATGATTAGATAGAATAAATTGATGTATAAAAGAACAAGATAATGAAAGAAAAGAAACTATGATAAGATCTATGATTTCTTTATGCTTGCTTTTATCATCTATTATATGTAATAGAAAAAAATTAGCAAAAATATTTATTTATAATATCTTTGTATAGTTTTTTGCAAATATCAGTTTACTAATCTGATAAAGATAAAGTAGCAGATAAAGCAGCAGATGAAGTAGTAGGTGAAGCAATAGATAAAACAATAGGTGAAATAGCAGATAAAAAAACAGATTGTAAAGATGAAGTAGCAGATATAGGAGAAGATAAAGTTAATTATCAGGATTTTGGATCTATTGAAGTAAGATTAAGAAATTTAATTAGAAAATTCTTATAATCTTTATAATTACAAAAAAACTTTAAAAGATCTTGCCCACTTTTCATAATTATATGTCTGAATAGATCTTTTGTTTGGTTAGAAGCCTGCATTTCTAGTTATTCTATATTGAATAATATTATATTAGTTGATTTTAAAGAACTATCTTTGAAAGATTTCTTAGATCATTTTGATAATCTGCAAAAATATTTGGACATGGTTATTAAAAAATAATAGTAGTGAATAAAAAAGAAATATAGTAGTGAATAAAGTAATAAAAAAATAAAAAAGTAACCTGTTATTTATATAATAGATTATTATAACTATCATACTTTACCAGACTGTAAAAAAAATCTGCGATATACTTTATCTATT